GAGAGCTCAGTCTTGTCCTGCATTGGTGGCTGTACAGAGGGCAAGGCAATGAGCACGGACCATACTAAGCTCCTAGTCAGCTGCTGGTACATAATAATTGCATTTTGCTTAGTGTGGTACTAAAGTGCTTGGGTCTAGAAGAGTAAAAAGGACAAGTTACACCTCCTGCAAAACATTTTAGTTACTGCTCCCCAAGTGCCTACCACTAAGTGCTCTCTCCTCCCTTCTTCACACATTGCCAAGTTTTGTGTGTGCATTTCTGCGAGATTCGATGCAAGCTAATTTGCATAACTATATACTATCTTAAAGCAAACAGAATGCTGGGGCAAGGTAGAGTTTTGGCAAGAAATAGTAGTAAACAATTCATATGAAATACTAAATCCATGCCATGTACCTCATCCTGCATGGTACACTTCAGTTAGTGCTCCCTGAGTCGTTACCACAGGTTTGGGAGCAGCATGGCTTCTAGACCAGTGGTTCTCAACCTTTTTTGTATCAGGACCCATTTGTAAATATTGATAGCCTGTCCTGACCCAGTGCCCCTCACTCTTGACCTGCTGGCCCCACCCTCAGGCCCCAGTGTGTAGGGCAGGGGGGCCCCAAACAGCCCCTTGCAAACTGGAACTCTGCCAGCCTGCAAGGGAAAAGCCACGGTTTCCCACATTTTTCTCCTTTAAAGAAGAATTCATTTTTAAAGTTTGTTCGCAACCCTTTTATATGTTCTTGCAACCCACTTTTGATTCATGACCCATGGGTTGAGAAATGACTGTTCTAGATCCAAAAATGGTGAGAAGTCATCGTACCTAGACAGCTTTCTTCTCCAAAGTAGAACTGAAAATCCCTCCTAACTGGTTGATTAACACAGCAAATCCCAGGCTTATGTAATTAATGTGCTGGGGCACTGCTGGTAATGACAGCATTTACTATTCCCTCTAATCTTTTTGATGCTGGAGGAACTGGGGGTGATGGGATATAACAAGGGTAAAGGAAATAACTAGGTCCTATTGTTTCCCCATCTGTAGAAGACCCAAGCCCATGTTAAACGACTGCTTAATGCAAATAACAAACTTGTTTCTCATGCTGACTTATCTATCCCCCATCCTCACATGGAATTTACCCACAAACTAGATACAGTCCTCTGCCAGGTTGGGACCCAATCTCTAACAACCCTAAAATTTGAAGCATGAGATCATTGGAGCTGGAGAGTTTCTCACTCTACTACAAGGTTATTAAGCACCTACCTTGTAGCATGGATAGCCAGAGAAGATCAAATCTATTATGCCAATAGGAGATCTCTGGAGAGAACTAAGAGATTCTGGTTGCTAGATATTTGCATCTAAAGATAGACTGTAGGTCTGGACACATGGCTATTTTAGATGTAAGTGGAGGAAGAGCTGCTGCCTGGGAAAACACACTGCAGCTGTTACAATACAAATGTTATGCTGGTATGATTGATCCTTCAGTGATAAGAGTGAGCTAAATCCTTGACCCTGAATGAAGCAGGTTTTGTTATGCTTATACAAGGCTACATGATAACACACATGTAGCAGCCTGCATCAGTACCTCATCTGATGATGTAAGGCCATTCATGGAGATACTGACTTCCAGGAAATATTTCAGACCATATGAAATAAGTTGATTACATCAGCCAGTCCTGCAAACGGAACCAGCCTCAGGATCTGAGTAGGATACACTTGGATCCATTTTCAGGGTCAGGGCCAACACCTGAAGGAGGGTGTTTGTACGCATCTGGGAAGGAGGAAATGCAGGCTCCTGACAGCTCAGTATCACAACGTCTGAAAACATGTTCAATACACTTCCAGTAGCAAATCAGAAAATAAAAAGACTTGTTCTAACAGGAGAGCAGACTTGCCTCAATCAGGTGCATCAGAGAGCAGCAAAGCTGACCTCATCCTTGTCCTAAGTCTCTCAGACCCTGAGCTGGAGGCTTTAGTTTCCCTTTAAAAAGATATCAGACACTTACCTGTATTTTTCAGTTGCACATTTACAATAGTCCCCACAAAGAAATGATCTGACAAGTCTGTGAGCCTAGAAATTGCCGTAGTTCAACAGGATTGGTCCTAGCTACTACAGATTCTAGTCCTTGCAGTGTGACCCAGCTCAGGTTTAATCACACAGTTATTTGTTTGTTTAACCAGACAAATTACATGCATTTTATTACAAAGCTTTTATTAAAAAAAAAACAAAAAAACCAACCAAATGCTCAGCACAGTAACTCAAACTGGAATGACAAATCAGTTGACAGTATTTTTGGCAAAGGCTGTGCCTTACTATTAAAAAAATGGGTACATCAATGCTCATTTCAACAACTGGCATAAAATCCCACTAACAGGCTAACAAAAACAGATACAAATACAGAACAATTGAAGTAATAATTCAAGTGCTGGGCTTTTTACAAGGAGGAGGGCAATGGATGAGGAAGAGAACTCACTGCAGTCGAATTTGCTGGATGTATTGCTTATGTTTTACAGAGAGTAGATGAAGCAGGACTGACATGTCTACTGACCAGGTGACTGTTAAAATGTATTTAGTTCTATAGGACACTGTATTACACAGACGGAGAGGGCCACTATTTGTTACAAATAGTTTAATGAAAAAGCCACCCTTTCCATACAGGCTTTTCCTCTGGCAGAAAAAAAAAGGACTTTTTTTTTATTTAAAAAGAAACTTAGATCTTTGAAGCTTCTTTAAAAGCTTGCAGCTAGTAAAATATACACCAAGGAAATGAAAAACTAAAAGTTAAAATATAAAAGCATTCAAGTTTCTTAAAAAAGCTAAAACCAAAATTGATCCTGTCTCACCATTAAATAAAAAGAAGTGTGAGTGGGTCTCCCTTGACCAGACGAGTTCCATTCCTCAGCGTGCTGGGGCTGGGGGGGGAGGACAGGGGGTAGCTGTTGGTCTATGTTATTCAGTTGGCTGAAGCAGGCAGACGCAGCCAAACTACTTTGCTGCCGACTCAATGTGGATGCTGATGAGACGGGCTTAGGAATGCAAAGTGGAGATGGAGTGAAGACAAAAGCTGTTCTGCTGACCCAGGAGTTCTGAAATGCTCATTTGATCTCTTTATATCAGGGTTGGGAATCTCGTGATAGTGAAGGGTTTTGGCAGTGATTGTCTTTATGGTTCAGTGTCTCTAGCAGTGACATCCTAGACAGACTCCATGGGGGGTGGTCTGCATGGATGAAGGACACACCTGGGGTTTTAACAAGCTTCCATCTCCAGAAGGGGCCCTGGTGTCGCTGCCTTGGCTTTGCATGTCGAGAAAGCATTTCTTTTCCCACCTAAAGAGGGGGAGGGGAAAAAAGTAAAAAATTTGCTTCCAGAAGTTTTTAAACATTCATTCTTAAGGAGACCTTGAAACCAAAACACTCTCCATCTAAGAAACCCATGTTGATGGATACAGTAAAGCTATGGACTAATGGCATTAGTAGACGGTACTTTTGAATTATCAAGTTGAGTTTGTCACATTGCTGTTGCATACACACGTTGAAGGGTTTGGCTTTTACTCTGTCCATGCAGTGCATCACTCTGCATTATTAGTAGCTTGATTAAAAGTATTTAAGGTGCCCATACCTCTTAGAATGGATCCCTAAGGAGTGAAATTTAGACAGCAATAATTCCTTTTGTTGAGGGCTTTTATTTCCCTGCCACAGCTGACCTGGACATCACTTATAGAGGATTAGACATCCTCAAACCTCATCATTACAAGAGTCAGGGTCAATTAAGTCTCTGGCACGAGTTTCAAGTTCTACTCCATTTAAAAACAAAGAAATCCTATCTTAGTAGGCCCTGCAGGGGAGTCTGTTGTGAGGCAGAAAAGCAGTGTCCTGTGAATATCTACTGTAGCATGAAACTGCATTGGTAAACAGCCTGTCTTACCTATTACCCTCAGGTATATGGCTTCCAGACCTTTCACTTGCACAAGAGACTGCTGCCAAAAGCCACAGGATTTAAACTGTCTGATGGCAGAGCCTGCAAGGATCTTAGGACAGCTAATGTGGGATGTAAGGTCAGCAGTGCAAGCCTGTAGGTATTACTCAGTCCTCCCCTTACCCCCCCCAACCCTTGTCCCATCAACACCCCCCAGAGAAGCAGTCTGCAACATTAGGTCTTTGTATTACATCAGCCTGCTTTGTAATTGCTGATTCAACAGTCATCCAGGCCCTCCAGACTAAGATGACCAAATTAAAGACTCCACCCGGTGACTGACTAGTGAGTCAAGCCACAGCGCAGGATGGCAAGTAGGAAATTTTCCATATACATCTCTATGGTGGTGTTGGCATTGCTGGTATCTTGTCAAAACCTACCCAGCGTTTTCTAAGCTTTCAGAAACTGCACAACAAACAAATGGGTGAAGGTTCGACCGAGCGCAGCTTTCATAATTGCGTTAGTCCTGGATTTCAAGAAGCAAGTTCTTTTTAGCTAGCCTTGGTGAGACATGACAAGAGATCTTGAATTACTTTGAATCATACATGCTGAGACACTGTACCTACCCTTTTCAAAACAGGTTAAGTGTAAACAGTATTAGCATCTGCCTGATCATTACTGATTACGACTGATGCCAAATCATACATGAGGCTACATTCCTATTACTGACAACAGGCTAGAGCTATTCAGAACTGTAACTAGTGTATGGGCAAAGTTAAATAAATGTATCAAAGGTGCCAGTCTACACATTTCCCCCAGCAGTTTAAGCTGAATAGTGGGTGTTAGTTGCACAGTATTTTGTCCATTAGCTGGAAATGATTGTTTACCAGTGTCATAAATGAGGAACTTATACAAGTTAAAATTCTCAAGGGATGACATCTACTGAGATCAAGAGTCTCGCTGGGTCCAGGACAGCTGCTCTCAATTTGGGTGCCACGAGATCCTTTTAAGTGCTGTGCAACCTTAGCACTGTTAAGCACGCAGACATGATTCACCAGGTAAACCCAGAGTTTTCAAATAGGAATCTGTAGGGTAAAACATCCAAATGACTGCACTTTTCCCTGGGATAAAATGGCTTGTCCCAGGAGAAATACAGTGCATGTTTGTAGCCTAGAGGTAGTTTTCACCTGTTTCTATACTTGGTTGCCACAAATAGAGCAAAAAAAAGTCAGTGTGGCTTTTTAAAAAGCATAGTTAAAAGTCCACTGGAAAAGCAACTCTTTCAACAGAGGTGGTCTGTCTTGACTAATTCAGTTCCTATTTCCTCATAAAGTCATCCCAAGCCCCAACTAAAAAAAAAGCCTCCTTAGCTTCCTGCATGTTGTTTTAAAGTAGCCCAGCGCTCCGCAACACACGGGGATCAAAGAGCTATGAAGGGCTCTACCTTTCCAAGGAGCACGAGAGCCAGGCCAAGCAAACAGCAGAGGAACACTGGTGAGAGCACCCCGCAGATTTATATTTACTTTGTGCCTTTTCATCCCAGATTTTCAAAGGTTTGGTCCAGGTTGCTCTTCCTGGGAAGGTTTTCCTCTCAGTCTTACATGAAAACATTCAGCTTCCTGTTGAGGAATGGCCTTGAGGCGCCAGGCCAGTAGTTCACAGCAGTCTGATACAAGTGCTGTGATTCAGAGCTACTCCCCATTAGCAGCCAGGAATGTCTACTTCACCCAAGGAAATGAAATGCTCTTCTGTTGAGACCATTCCCTGCCACCTCCCCCTTCCCTTACCAGCAAGCTGCCTTTGAAGTCAGGAGGTTAAAACAACGGCCACGGCCTTGCTCTGGCCCTCAGGTTTTAAACTGAGGCCTTTGCTGCTTTTGTGAGTCAAAGTGCAACTGTAGCAGTTTCTGGCGCACAATTTCATAACCTCTGCCTGCTCTTCAGCAGTAAAGAAAAGGAGACTGCAAACATGATTCCAGTTGTGCAAGGGGTGGCAGAAGCAAAGAGGAGACCTAAAGTATTGTTATTCTTTCCAGAGGAATACTCCAGAAAGTTGCACACTAGCCTTTCTCCAGCTGCACGTTTTTAAGGCGACAAGCTTGTAGTAGTTCGTACTGCTGACAAACCAAATAGTACCTTAAAAAAAAAAAAAGGAACAAGAATGGTGTTGCCTTTCAGATATAAAACAGGTCAAATTAGGATTCTTTTCAAGAAACCACAGGCATGTGCTAAGGAGACTGAAGACTTCCCACATCTAAGACTTCACTGGGGGGCTGTAGCTGAAGTCTCGCCAAGCCAGGCATGCCCTAGCACAGCCCAATCCACAAGCGAAGTCGGCACAATCAAAGGCTGCAATTACAGCTCCCTGACTGTGGTCAGGCTTCAAAGAAAGTGCTGCAAGTCACATTTTACATATGTGAAGTCTTGAGCCTCTGCCACAATAAGAGCCACTGTCTGTGCCGTTTGCAGCATAGATCTGACTGCAGCAAAAAAAAGACACCCTTGAAATGAATGACTTGAATAGAAATAAAATCAGACATTTAAGCTCTCCATTAACATGATAAAAACAGAACTTCAGTAACTGGCAGCATGGGGAATACAGCCTCCCGATGCAATCGGAGGTTAGCTAAGTGATTTTTCTTTTTGCTAAAGAACAAGTGGCACACTTTCGCCCTGCTTTTGGCATTGTAATGGGATTAACTGCATAGCTTTGAAGGCCTCAGCATCCTGAACTCAAAGACGTTACCAACTTGTCATCTCTAAACTAGGCTCGGAGAGGCTGAAACAATGTGAGCCAATGGAGATTACACAGCTTCAAGCGAGGGACTGGAAGTGGGCTGTGTTCGCAATATGCTGGAGGCAGAAAAAGGAAGCAAGTAGAAGGGAGACTCAGCCTTTCAGAAAATGCAATAAGAACAGTGTACTTTGGTGTGGTTCACTGAAATTAAGATACTTTGTCCTAGTAGATGGATTTCACTAGAATTCAGTGTTAGACGCAAGCTGCGGGGGGAGGGCGGGATTTTACACTATCCCCTTTAGGGCATCTTTGAACAATGTTTTTAGAGTTATTCTGAAACCACTCTTTTGAAATGCTGTGCTACAAAATATAATACAAAATCAAGTCAATGCCTAAATGAAATGCTTGGATAGAGCCACCACATTCGGCCAGTGGTCTAGCTTGAAAATGAAGCCACATATCAAAATCCTGACTGAAACAGAATCCCTGGCTTCCGCACAGCACTACCCAGGACTTCACCGTTTCCAATCTGGCGCGCTAACCTATGTCATTTGAGCAGGGGTGGCAATGGACTTCCGGAAATATATTTCCCCCTACAACCCCAGAAAAGTGTACTAGCATAACATTTTTTCTCCTTTATATTCTCCCATAATTATACCTTCAGAAGTGTCAGAAAGTAACATGAGTTCATTTAAAAAACTTGTAAAAACCCCACAGGAGTTTGCTTAACTTTGAAATAGGCATTTATTTTCACCCTGAAAACTTACTCTGCAAATTTCAATCAAGATGAACAGAAATCTCATCAGTGTTTTTCCTTATATTACCCAGAAGGTGTCACTGTGTTCTGTCCATGTTTTACTCTGTAGTTGTGATAAGCCAGGAAAAGTGGGAAGCAGTTTCTGTTTGGTAATCTCTGTTATGGGGCCAACTACATGGCTGGGAGAGTAGTTAGACTAGCTTTCAGGCACAACGTGCAATTCTTAGGGCTGGGAAAGCAGCAGATAAATCTGCTCTTCTCCTAGGCCTGAGAAAGGGTGCTTTGGACCCACACACTTGTCTAACATCTCTCCCCACTGAATAGTTGGCCCAATAACAAAGATTACCAAACAAACTTTCCCTCTCCTTGTTTATACGAGACTTTAACAGTACTTGTAGTCTGTTTATCAATTTGGCTTTTTATGATATAAAAAGACCTGAAAGAAGAAGCTTTTTTGGCTTGCCTTTTACCTTAGAAATATCACTAATGTTAAGTGTGAGCTTCCCTAGGTTTGTTGGAAGACCTGCTCTCTCTCAAGCCTTTTGTGTGCTTTGAGATACTCCTCCCAAATTAATGCTTAAGACAATATCTGTTTCAACAAAAAGCTTTCAACAGTGACAAACTTTCTGCTCTCTAAGGCACAAATTGCACTCCCTTTTTTCCCTACCAGCAGAGAATCTCCAGGAAAGATGAGATCTGAATTCCTCATGTGAAAAGGGCTTTTTATTTTATTTTTTTTAAGTGGAGATTACCTTTATAAAGCATCAGAAAAGACCATGTCCCTTCCTTCTCTGCTGGTGGCTTAAAAGTTAAGAATGGTCCATACAACTAACACAGTGGAACTAATTCTTAAGAGTGGCAGAAAAAGATATTTCCACAATCAATTAGACTTTGAGGCACAGCATTTGTGCAGTATAGCCC